ACTGAACATCTTTGTTCACATAGCTTTGTACACATGTGTTTCATTAGGGTAGTTTCCTAAAAGGAGCATCAGTATGTCAAAGGATATATATACATATAAACTTTTGAAAGTCTTGGGGGGTGGGGGAGAGGCAAAGGACTTGAACAGACATTTCACAAAACAAGATATACAAATAGCTAATAAGCACATGAAACGATGCACAACATCATCAATCACTGGGGAAATGCAAATGAAATTATGAAATACCACTTCATTCATTAGAGTGGCTAAAACTAAATACTGACAAAACCAAGTGTTAGTCAGGATATGGAGCACCTGGAACTCTCATACACTCCTGGTGGGAATTAAAATGGTACAACTACTTTGGAAAACAATTTGGAAGTACCTTAAAGAGTTAAACATACGCCTACCCTATAACCAGCAATTCCACTTCTAGGTATTTACCTAAAAGAAATGAAAAGAAATATGTCCTTAAAAAGACTTGTATAAAAATGTTCACAGCAGCTTTATTCACAATAGCCAAGAATTGGAAACAACTCAAATGTCCCATTAAGGGATGAATAAACAAACTGTGGAATATTCATACAATGGAATACTACTCAACAATAAAAAAAATGAACTGCTGAGAAACATAATATAAATGAACCTCAAAATAATTACATTGAAAGAAGCTACATAAAGAGTAAACTGGATGATTGCATTTATTTTAAGTTCTAGAACAGACAAAATTAGTCTCCAGTGATAAAAATCAGATCAGTGGTTGCCTGCAGTGAGGGTAAGGAGGGATGCACTTCAAATAGCACGAGGGGAACTTCTGGGGCGCTGGAAATGCTCCACATCTCGATCTTGGTTACACAGGTGTTTACTTTGTCTGAACTTATTGAATCAGGCACCTAAAATGTTTTAATTTTATTGTATATAAATTATACTTCAATAAAGATGCTTTTAAAAGAAAAGAATTTCAGTGTTCTTACAGACCTTTGTGTTTATTTTGGCTTTTAGTTAGGGCTACAGGAAAATTTAACTCAATGGCTTTCAAATATCTTTATGCACTGAGCATCCCCAAGTAATGGACCTGGACTCATAAACTCAAAGTACCAAATCCAAGCTCTCATTTTACAGATTAGGAAACTGGCACCCAAGTATCCTGATTCCAAGTCCATTGTTGTTTTCACTATTTATGTTGATGTTACAAAATCTATAAAGCAAGTTAATATCATTGCTATTAAAATGTTACTGTGCTCAGAAAAAGCTGTTAAAATTAACAGGTGAAACACTGCCTGAATTAGAAAATCACAATCTGCAATTCCTAAGGAAATGGCTATGAGTTGGAATCAACTCAATGACAACAGGTTTTTTTTTTTTTTTGTTAAATGACATAATAAGGATCCCTGGTGGTGCAAAGGTTAAGTGTTTGGCTGCTAACCAAAAGGTTGGTGGCTTGAACCCACCAGCAGATCCCTGGGAGAAAAGACTCTATCCTTTTCCAAATCATTCCATCACCATTAACATAAACTCAAAGTCCCCTAAGCATAAACTCCCCTTTTGATAAGGACTTTTTGAAAACAGCCATTATCATATCCAACAAAATTAACAGTAACTCCTTAATGTCACTGAATGACTGATCCATGTTGTTTTCCTCAATTATCTCAAAACGTCTTTTTTCAGTTTGTTCAAATCAGGATCCAACCAAGGTCCATACTATGCATTTGGATATGTTTCTTAAAGTCTCTTTTAATCAATAGTTCCCCTTCTTTTTTTTTTAAATTCCATTTCTTTGTGGAAGGCACCCTGGGTCATTTGTCCCATAGAATTTCCCACGTTATGGACTTTGCTGACTCTGCCCTGTGTCACTAACACATTCCTCTATCGCCCATGATTCCCATCAGCTGGTGCTCGGAGCTGGGGACTCACTGAGGCTCAGGATCAGTCTGGGGTTTCTGGCACGCCTACTTCACTGGTGATGCTGACTGCTTCCTAGTGTGTCACATCAGGAAGGTCACAGTGTCTGGCTGTCCCACTTGCAGATGTTAACCTTGATCGGTGAGTTCAGGGGAGTGTCAACCTGACCTTTTTATAAGGTAAGTTCCCCTAACGATTTCAGCATTCCTTGATGAGTACTGTTTAAATCCGTTATTTCACTGTTGCTGTTGTACGGTGCTGTGGAGTCCGTTCTTGACCCACAGCAACCCCATGTGACACAGCGGAACTGCCCCATAGGGCTTTCTAGGGTGCAATTTTTACGGGAGCAGATCACCATTACACAACTTGAGAATGGTTACACAACTTGGAGAATGTAATGTCACTGAATTGTACATGTAGAAATTGTTGAAATGGTATACGTTTTGTTGTGTATATTTTCACCACACACACACACACACACACACACACACACGAAGTCCTTATCTGTTAGAGATACATACTGAAGTATTTTTGAGTGAAAAGATTTACTGTCTGGAATTAGCTTTAAATGCTTCAGGAAAAAATGCATGGTGGGAGGGATAAAACAAAAATGGCAGAAAGTTGACAGTTATAGATGGCAGGTGACTGTAGTATTCTTTTTACTTTTGTATAATAAATCTATTTCTATATAAATATATTTGCCTATAAAATGTTTTTTAAAATTCCCCAAGAATTTATAGTCACATGCCCCAGGTAAAGTAACTAGAAAGAAATTGGTGTGAAGTAACATTTGAGTATGACTTTGTCTTCCTCCTTAAAATAGGCGTGACACCCACCTCTTATGTCCACAAAGAACGAGTTGCCCGGCCACTGCTATTTCCACACTAGTACTCAGTACTAGCAGAGGGTCAGCAAAAAAGAGGAAGACGGTCAACGAGATGGACTGACACAGTGACTGCAACAGTGAGTTCAAGCACAATTGTGAGGATGGCACAGGACCGGGCAGTGTTTCCTTCTGTTGTACACTGAGTCAGAACTGACTCGACAGCACCTAACGACACTCAGTGGGGTATTCGGATTTGACAAACTTAGTCCAAAGAACCATAAGCACATACATTTTGGTCACCACTGTTGAGGTTCTCAGAGCTGAGGGGGAGCAGAGTGCTCAGCTCCAGATCAGACACCATCTGACGGGATTCTGCCAGCAAACGCTGCAGCTTACTTGTGGGAGAAAAATCGTCCTGGGAAAAGAACACAATGTAAGTATTCATGAAGTCAGAAGCTTTTAAAAACGTTTACACACACAGTGTTACAGACAACACTACCTGGTAGCATTTCTTTGCCTTCAGGTTTACAAGGCAAAGCAGCACATCAAATACTATGATAACCAAGTTACTTTTATTTCTTCGCACTTACTCAGCTAAATAATTTGACTTAAATGGAACTTAGCACTTACAGGCAATTAAATAACTTTCATGTAATTTAAAAAAATCCTAGGTATTGATTAGTTGTCCTAAATCAGCGTTTCAAGGCCATAATTAGCATGTCAAAATACTTGCAAAAGTAAACTTTTCTGCTTAACACTGAAGACTCGTAAGCTGTATAAAATACGAGATTACGCAACCTGGAGAATGTAATCAATATCACTGAAATGTACATGTAGAAATTGTTGAGATGGCGTAAATTGTGTTATGATATTTTTACCGCAATAAAATTTACAAAAAAAATGTAGAGGTGTGCTTTAGTTTGTTGTTTTTTTTTAATTCTGGGATCCGAATTTTTAGCATGAGAATGAGTCACTGCTAACTGTTCTCAAAACGGCTTAAATTTGTCTTAACTTTCTGATGCTCCATAAACAATGATCACGACTGACCTGTCACCTACAAGGTATCCGATACGTACCTGCGGAATGAATGAAAACATCTGTGATTGAGAACAACACAGGCATGTGATGTCAAGCATTGCCTCAGAAAACCAGGTGCCAACACTGAAAAAGGATCACCAAGAGCTAAAAAAGGTAATAGCTAATATTTTCCCTCAGATTTACAGAAAAGAGACTTTTCTGTAAATGCAAAGTATGGACCTTTAAAAAAATTTGCTGCTTTACTGAGGTATAATTGACGTACAATGCACTGTACAATTGATGGGTTCTGACATACATACACACCCTTGACACCACCACCACAATCCAGAGTGAACATATCCATCACCCCCAGAAGTTCCCTCCTGTTCCTTCCCGCCCCTCCTTTCATTGCCAGACAACCACGAATCTGCTTTCTGTCACTAGAGATTAGTTTGCATTTTCTGGAACTTCACATAAAAGGACTCCATAAAGTATGTAGGTCTCTCTGTCTGGCTTCTTTCACTCTGTGTAATTATTCTGAGATTCATCCATGCTGTTCTGTGTATAAATAGTTCCTTTTTTATTGATGAGATGTATTCCACTGTACGAATATACCACTGTTTATCCACTCTCCTGTTAAGGCACAACTGAGTTGTTTATAGATTTTTAATGAACACAGTTGCTATGAACAAGCACGTATAGGTCTTTGTGTGGACATATGACTTCATTTCTCTTGGGTAAATACCTAGGGGTGGAATGATAGGTATATACAGTATTTAACTTTTTAAAAAGCTACCAAAGAGTTTTCCAAGTGGCTGCACCATTTTACCTTCCCACCACCCTTTTGGTTAGCGGCTGAGTGCTTAACCACTGCACCACCAAGGCTCCTTTTCCCACCATCAGTGGGTGAAAGTTCCAGTTGCTCCAGATACTCATCAACACTTGGTATTCTGACTTTTTAAATTTTAGACATTTTAATAGGTATGAAGTAGTATTTCACTGTGGTCTTAATTTGCATTCCCCGGATGAGTAACGAAGGTCCCTGGGTGGTGCAAATGGTCTGTACTTGACTACTAACCCAAAGGTTGTAGGTTCAAACACACCCAGCAGTATCACAGAAGAAAGGCCTGGCGATCTGCTTCTGTAAAGATTACAGCCAAGAAAACCCTATGGAGCAGTTCCACTTTGTAACACATGGAGTCGCCATGAATCGGAATTGACTCAATGGCAATGGGTTGGATGCTTGGTTTTTAAATGACTAATGATGTTGAGTATCTTTCCACGTGCTAGTATGCCATATATTTATAGCTTTGTTTTCAATTGACAGAGCAGTTTTAGCTGATTATTCAATCCTATGAGATAACGTTCTCTAGGTATGGCTGGCCTATACCTCTTTTTATCACTGTGCCAGTTTCATCTCTGTGCAATGCTAACAAAGAGAAATAATGCTTATCAAACACCTATCGTGGGGCAGACCCTACATTACCTACGTTACCTCACTTAGACCAAGCAACTGTGACGTCATGGCATATTTGCAGATGAAGAAACTGAGACGCAATGAAATTAACTAATTTTATGAAGGTCACAGAGCTAAGAGCAAGCAGAAAAGGCATTTGAACCCAAATAAGTCTGATTTCAAACGCCATGATCTTCCCAAAATAACATCAAAAGTGAGTAAGTTTACTCGAATTTGTTTTATTTGTGAATGAGCTGCAGTGAAGACACTGTTTATGATGAAGACACTGGCTGAAGGTAACGTCCTCAGGGAAATCCTTGTTATGTAAGAACATGGACGTTCTCTGCAGCACCGTCTCTAACAGGAAGAGCAGCAGACATACCCTCACTGCCTGTGGTGGGGGCTCGGACAAACAGTGCTGTATCCACTCAATCTAAACCATCAAAACACGGGGAAAAAACAACTAATCAGCCAGCAATTAAAGTGAACAAACTAGGTCTACGTGTGTCAGCATGGATAAATGTCACAAAATGTTGATAAAGTTGGAAAAATCATATTGCAAAAGGATACACACAGTATTATACCATTTACATATTTTAAAAATTCATAAAACAACATTATAGCATGTGTGTGTATGTTGTTGTTAGGTGCGGTTGAGTCGGGCCCCCGTCACGGCCAACCTATGCACAGTGGGATTGGACCGCTGTGATCCACAGGGTTCTCACTGGCTGACTTTTCTGAAGTAGATTTCCAGGCCTTTATTCCTAGTCCATCCTAGTCTGGAAGTTCTGCTGAAATCTGTTCAGCATCGCAGCAACGTGCAGGCCAGCAGTGACAGACGGGTGGTGGCTGTGCTTGAGGTACACTGGCCAGGAATCAACCCGGGTCTTCCACGTGGGAAGGAGGTGAGAATTCTACCAGTGAAGCACCACGGCCTCCCTGTCTGTCTGTCCCTCTGTATATCTGGTAGGCGTTCATAAGCATGGAAGACTTTAGCTGTAACATTTCATTTCTTTAAAAATAAAAACAGAGCAAACGTAGCAAAATGTAAACATTTGTTCAATTTGACTGTAGGTGCACAGGTGTTGTTATATTCTTCATTTTTTGTATGTTTAAAAATATTTATTTAAAAACAATCGATCAATCAACTGGAGGGCCTGAGGGAAGCCTTGCCTAAAGCTAACGTTTAAAGAAAACATAAAGGAAGCCACTCTGAGTATGGTGAAATAAAATAATCCAGCGAAGAAACCCTGACCAGGGGCCTGCCCTCTAGGCAGCTAGTATTATAAAAACAGTACAGCTGTGAAGCCTCGGCCACAAGGCTGAAAACCACAAGATGGGATGCTGTTAGTTGAGGCCAGTCTGTCTTTCCCTAAATCTGAGGTCCTCAAACTAGGCGAGCTTCAGAATCACCTGGAAGGCTTGGGAAAGCACAACAGCTGGGCCCCACCCGGGTGTCTAACCCAGGAGGCCATGGGTGGGCCTGAGAAGGTGCATTTCCAACAAGTTCCTGGGGGATGCTGACGCTGCTGGTAGAGACAACACGCCCTGAGAACCGCTGTCCCGATGACTCCGCCTTCCTTCAGGCTCTTGATGGAAAAAACATACTGCAGAAATGAAACTTCGTAAAAATTAAATTTGCTGAACTGAAGCGTATTACTCCTGTTCCTCATTTAATATCAGATGGTAAGCCCCTGTTGATCTACCTTGTGAAAAAAGGAGAAGAAAAGATTTTTATGCAAAAAGCCTTTAACTGAGGAAAACATGCTCTACCCTGCTTAGTTCTGGAATCTTTTCACCATAAAAATGCTGGAAACTTATCCTCAAGAGGCAGTGTTGCCTCGTGGTTATGCACGCAGATTGTGAGCCAGCGGACTTGGGTTCAAACTCTGCCTCTGTTACTTCACTCTATGACTTTGGGCCAGTCACCTAGCTGCTCTGTACCTCAGTGTTTTGAACTGTAAAAATGCTGGAAGCCCAACACAGACACTGTACTACGGCAGCAGTTAGAAAAGCCTACTTCTTATTCTCTAATGTATTCCAGAACCTTGCACTGGCTTTCTCATTGTAGGAATGAGATTTGAATTTGCCATCTTGGTAAATCACGAATGTTACAAGGCTTCTTATGTAATATGTTCCCATATATATCACATATTACACATTCATCGACATGTCTATCTTTGTAGAGAGAGATGTCTGTAAGTAGGCTCGCCAACATGTCAACGGTGGCTGCCTGGAGACAGACTGTGTGTGTTTGAAGGAAGGGGTGGCTGGGCACAGTTTGCTGGGTGATATTTTCTTGATGTACATTTCTGTATAGGTTAATTTTTTTTTTTTTATTACAATGAGAGTGTACCAAGTTGCCATAAAGGCAATACAATTATTCTTGAAAGAAAGAAAAAAAAAAAGAAGACGACTGCATAAAAGGAACCTTAAAGCCCTATAATTTAAAAACTAAGGACTGGCCAAAATTGAACAGGCTAACAAGGGTGCAACAAAAGAATTAAAAGGACCTTGGACAGAGGCTGTGCTTGAGGAAGCCAGGCATTTCTAAGCTAAATACAGACCTTCTCACTGGGCAAGGCTGCATCCTGGTCGATTAACAAAGTCTTGGAAGAGCTCTTTCTATCCGCAGAGGAGTCTGTCTCTATGATCTTCTCCTCCCCTCTTAGGGTAGAACTGGAAGAACCCAGACATGCAGGATGATGGATGCTGACAACTGGCTCACTATCAACAACAAAGCCAAACAACACCAGACATCTTAAAGCAGCTCAAACAAAGTCACAATGTTCTTAGACTTAAATGCATCTCAACAGGACCAAAAAAAAAGCAAAAAAAAACCAAAAAGTTTTTGCGTTAAATTTGAGAACATTACAAGTTAGCACATCTCTTTGCAAGTAAGAATAAAACAAAAATCCTAGTGAAGTGTAACTACAGAATATAGGGAATTTCCTCTTTCCCTCCCTACCAAAAAAACAACAATGAAATAAAGTTTCAAGGGACAGGATTACCCAGAAGGGCAGAAAAGAATTAACATTGTATAGGGTTAACCTCATCCGTGAACATTTTAGGTTTTTGGTTTGTGGGACTGATTACTGTTAATGGTTTTAAAGAGTCCTTTTACAAAATCAGAATGGCACTGGGGTAGCTCTTTAACCAGGGGCAGATTATCCAATAAGCAAGGAAAGCGCAGGTTTAGACCTGGTGAAAAACAGGTGAAACTGTTCACTACAGATTAGGAAGTTAAGTACAAGCAAGCCTCGCTCAAAGGGTGATCCGTCCCTGTCAGGGATTGTAAATTTGAAAAGAGGTTTTGATTCTGTAGAGAGCTGCTGTGGAGTTGGGAGAGAGTCAGATGCCACCTATACCTAGAAGCAGAATCTCCGATATGCTGAAAAAAATGTGAAATTGTTCACTACAGATGATCTGGTAAGCAAAGCAAGCACTGTGCTTACCTCGCCTATTGGATAATCCGTCCCTAATTCTTCTCTAGGTACTCGGTATTAGGGAATAAACACACTTAGCTCACGTTGTTAAAGTGTGGGGCTCAAGGCACAAAAGCTGTTCTGGAGCACACCAGTCGCACCGTACCTGTTCTTCCACGTAACTAGAACAAGGGAGAGCAGGCCACCCACGGTTTCTCCCTCCCCTGGGAAACCTCTACTGGGCAAACAGAACGGTGGCACAAACGTGGACATTCTAGTCAGATAATAAAGTAGGTACACAGGTTCTTATAATCTAAGGGAAAATAGGAAAACATAATTATCTCTCCTCCTTAGTCACATACTCGTCATGCGATGTCTTGGCGAGCGGCCCCACTGGCAGAACAGGCAGCCACCTCAGGGACTCCCAGTCAGGGAAGGCAAAAGGGCCTTGAAAGAAAACTCTGGATTTCAATGTGAACTTCCTTTTTATGTCAACTTTTACATTCACGATGCTCTTAAAGCTATCTGCCAGCAGCGCTCTCCTTAACGTATGTCTGTTCTGGGTGAGCCATGAGAAATATGTAGTGGTGCCCTGCTGATCCTTGCAATTATCTACAGAAGATCTTTAAATCCAAGTATGAATAAATGACATTTAGTGTGACCACCAACTGTTTTTTTAATTTTGCAGCTGGCAGGATAAATACCTGTATGATTTTTAAATAACTTAAGGTTTTAAAAGGGCCAAAGAATAACTCAAATAACATAAATACCAGTAAGAAGTTTCAATCATAAAGTCCTGTGCAAGTCAATGCAAGGATTAAAACAAGGCTCTCGGTATAGAAATGTCACCCTTTCTCTAACTGAAGATGAACAGCGATGCTTTGTTTAAAACCAGCAGCCATTATTAGAGTACCTCTTAGCCACAAGACTCAGCAATTCTAACAAGGGGAGCTGGATAACGCAGGGTATGCTAATAACGAATCTTATTTTCTTCTCTGAAAAAAAAATAACTTCTACCATCTTGTTAAATATAAATATTCTTTCTCTTGCGTGATTTAAAAAAAAAAGAACAAGAAGAGAGTCTGGGAGATGTAAAGGAGAAAACAAACACGAACTGAACCCAAGGGCAGCCGCAGACGGGCATGTAAACGCACCAAGCTCCCCGGGGTGAGGGCAGAGAAATCTTTATCTGGGGGCTAGGGAATGTGACCTGGGCAGGAAAGAGTCAGCCTGTCCATTCAACACGGATGCCAGGGTGAGGAATGTTCCAGAGCAGCATTCCACTCTGAACAGTGACCCACCCATTTGTTTTTTAATAAAATGTATTTGCCAAACTCATCTAACAAATGCTTCTGTTTTTAAGACAGACCTTTGCCTCAGAAGCCGCCTAGGCACAAACTTCCCCTGGAGTCTAATAAAAGTCTCTTTGTACAAAAAGACTTAAGAGTCTATGCTGTGATGCAAGAAGTAAATTGCTTCTTTTAACTAAGAACATGTTTCTGGTTTCAAAGACTGCTTTCAGTTAACGACAGGCAGGAGGGGCTCCTGCAGCCCTTCATATAGCTGCATACCGTATGTACCCTCCCCTGGGTGTGTGCAAACGTGAACCATGACTCACCTTGCCGAGGAGTTATATTTTGCTCCACTGACACTTTCTGAACAAGTGCACGTGGGTTTGTGGCGAACAATTCTTCCTACTTTACAAGGCTTGAAAATGCTCATCCACTGGACATCAGACATGTGGCCTGGGGCTTCAATTACGAGGTTACTAGGGTGGCAGCACCTAGATTCATCACAAATGTCACTTTCACTCAGACAGGCCTCATTGTTCTGGCAATATGAGATCTCAGGCCTGTCCTTCTGATCTTGACATTCAACGTTCAGCTTTTCGGGTGGTTTGGAGCCAGAAGAGTTGGCCAGGCCCAAGTAAACATTGAAGTTGTGCCACTGCTTTTCATCAGCTAAAGATGATTCAGACAGCTGTTTCTCCCTGTTCAGAATCCCAATTTCAGTATCTTTTGCTGATTTTGCATGGATCTTGCACAGTGTACTTTTGTTTTCAGGTTCAATCTGGATTTTTCCTCCCAGAGACCAAGACTTTTGTTTCTCCACTGAGTCTTTCGTAAACAGAGATGAGACAGCTGTTACACTTTTTTCCCCAAATGAGGTGTTAACCTGTAGTCTCTTCTCTTTGCATACATCGTAACAGCTCTTGTCTGACCTATTTTGCTGAACCAACATGGTCTCAAATTTTTGGTCCTTAACCAGTAACTTCTGATCTTTCTCCCTCTTAACATCGTCTTTTGAGTGGCTATTTTCAAGGTCTGATAAACACATGTCTCTGCTATGACGGCATTACAAAAAATGGAAGTTACAAGATGTATTTGACTCTATCACCATTCTAAACATTTCACCCAAACCTCAATAGTACAGCTAAATCCCACTAAGATTCAGTTGTCTGAAGTGAAATGTAAGGAACTTCTTCCAGAAGCCTCTCCAGCCACTAAGCCAACATTTATGCCTCCTCGTCATCCTTAACTAACTCCTACTGAGCCAAGTCCTCATCTAATTAATTGTACAGCAAGTTTCCTATTATAACTACTGCTCACTGTCTCACACATATATCCTGTCTTCTCAATAGACTCTTAAGTTTCTTATGGGTAGAGGCCACTTTTTCAATTCCCTTGGCACCTAGGATAGCCTTTGATCCATATTACGTGTTCCATAAATACTTGACGGTTGGTTGATCTGATATTTTCTTTCCTAATTCCATTACTTTCACAGTGACCAAGAACTGAAACCAGGATTAGAAGGTGATGCTGATTCAGAGGACAGTGACAAGCTGAAAAGTGCTGTGTTTACTGTCCAGCACTCATTACTGTCCCAGCTACCAAATATACTGGGTAACTTATGTAGCTATTATTGAAAGCTGATCTAAAATAAAAACAACACGTGTGCAGAAAATAAAAATTAAGAGCATGACGTACACATGATAAAGTTTTTAATAAATCACCCTTTAAAGATTCATGTCAGTGTATTTGGGTACTCTGATCTGCAGAATTCTGATCCCTAGGAAAACTCAACCCTGTCCTTCAAAACGGCAGAAGACATTTTATGCTCTTAAAGGATAACTCATCTAGCCCAGGTACAGCCCAGTGGTGATGAAGTACAAAAAGGAAAGGGAGCTGACTGGTGAAGGGCAACTGCCTGCAAGAGATCCCTGAGCTGGCCTGGTGTGTACTGGAGGACCAGCAGCTGGAAGCAGAGCCCAGTGTGACAGCCCCCAGCACGCTGCTCAGAGGAAAAGTGTGGCCAGTGCAGCAGCCTTCCCATTCACCTGCCTGTTGGCAGCCGCTACTTCTTACACTCCCCTGCCGACAACTGCTGGCGTCCACGACTCTGAACACCATCCTCCCAAGGAAAGGAGCCACCTCCAGTACCGCCCGGCCTTTGCAGCCACGTGTCATTATGGGGGAACTTCCCTAGTCCCTCCTCGTAACACTTCTGCTTGGAAAAGCAGACTAAGTTTATGTCACTGTGGGACAGTAACATGCCTGTTAAATTAAACCACACTTCATATATTTATATTTTAATTTTATGGAAGCCAATTTAATTGACACACTGCTTGCTACAGGAAAGAGACGATGTCTCATTCTATTGATGAGGAAAACAGGAAAATCAGGTAAGAGCAGAGATCACCCCCAGCTAGAAATGACAGCCCCCATCCTGTGAACTCGAACTGCAGTTATTTACATATCCTTTGGCACTTTCTCAGGGGTACGTACCAGTCCTATAAATCTTTATAATCCCTCCTTCCCAGCCCAACGCCCAAAAGCCTTTAAGTACTCAATAAACATTTGCAGAATGAATGAATGAATCATTCATCTCTGTAGTTTCTACTCCAATTTAGAGCCTTCTACCCAATACACAAATAACGTTTAATGAATTTACTTTTATCAAGTGACTGCATGAGGAGAAAGCCTCAAATTCTAAGATCAGCTCTCGCTCTAACCTAGGATTATAATGATACTCATTAGCTGACATATACTCATTCCCTACTATATAGGGAATAGTAAGAGGTACTGGCCCACGGTAAGTACTTACTAAATATGACTGAATGATGAAATAAAACACAAGATGTTATTAGCAGCATCTTACCCAGATTCCAGGGCCTTTGGTTCCTCCGCCTTTGAGTCATACAGCTGTATTAATTCCTGAGAATTTTCCACATTAACGTGAAGAAACTGCAGATCACGCTGTTGTTTTACGTAAATCTGCCCATAGATATTGACAGTCAACATAAAATGAAACAACAAAACTAAACTGAGCCAACACTCTGGCACTTTCAGACCCTAGCACAGATCACACGGTGACTAGAGAAGGAGGCTGAGCACATCGGCTTTTATTTTTCCTGTGGACACTAGATGCGTCAGTATAACCAGTTCCCTAACCTTGGTTACCAGAAGCAAGACCTGATCTGTAGATGCTAAACGTGACAGATGTCCAATGTACTCAGAATTCCAAAGCACAAAAAAAAAACCAAACAAACAAACGAACAAACCCACACAGGCGTAGGTTTTTCCCAGTTTAGCGTGTTTGTAAATATCTCTCGCCTAGTTGTTAGAGCGGTACAATCGGGACATACCTGTCTCAGATTATGCAGTTCAGTGTTTGTCCGCTCTTGCTTTGATTTTGCAATATCAAGTAAGTCGTCTTTCCTCTTCTCTCTTTCTACTATTTAAAAAAAGTATCATTAAAACATTTTTTTATATCAGCACAAATCTCTCCATTCCCAACAACTTCATGCTCAGCTAACATTTTTTTCCCTCATTCCTGAATTTAAAAACTGCAGAACGGCTGGCTGGGAAGGGCTCTAATCTGTTCTTCTGGCTAAAGTCTTCATCAAACGGGAAAATTTTCATGATATAATTAATGCTAAGTCAAAAAAAAAGGGATCTCTGGTGTCACAGTGGTTAAGAACTCAGCTGCTAACCAAAACGTTGGCAGTTTGGATCCGCCAGCCGCTCCCTAGAAATCCTACAGGGCAGTTCTACTCCATCTGATTGGGTCGCTGTGAGTCGGAATCGACTCAATGGTGATGGGTTTGGTTTTTAACTCAAGAAAGACTTGAAATTGTATCAACTCTGTGATTCTACTTACACGTGTGTATTTGCATGTACATATGCACAGAAGAGCTTCTAAGAGTAAGTATGCCACAGTGCGGAGAGAAGTTAGTGATTTTTGAACAGGAGGATTAAAGGTAATTCTTTTTCCTCTTTTTTTTTGGGGGGGGGCAGCGATTTCCAAATCTCTATAATTAACGTACATTACTTTAATTTTTAATTATTTCCACAATACACAGGTAACTTTTGAATGCATTTTCATTGAAAAAATCCAAACACTATATTACCTTTGTCAACAGAAAAATAATTACATTACATGGGGGAGGCACTTTTTTGCCATCATGTAATCAATCTGATATATTCTCACAAGCAGGTTCTCCCTGTATATTCTCACTAACCAAAGGTATCTGTACCCATGGGGTGCCCCAATAGGCAGACAAACTATACTTCCATTTTCATAAAGGCCCAGCACTCCCTTAAAGACTTTGTATTTCTTTTTTTTTTTAATCTCATAAAATTTAATAATTTCTCAAAAATTGTTGTTGTTGAGAATATATACAGCAGAAAACACACCAATTCAATAGCCTCTACGTGTACAGTTTGGTGACATTCTTCGAGCTGTGCAAACATTCTCCTTTTCTGAGCTGTTCCTCCCCCACTAACATAAACCCACTGCCCCCTAAGTCTCCCATCTAACCTTTTGAGTTGCTATTGTTATTTTGATCCCATATACCATATTTTCACACAAATAACGTGCACGATATATGTTTTTTTGCCAACCTCACCCTCCCACCACGAGGTATTTTTGTAAGTACACGATACTAATTTTTTTAAAGGTTGCTGTAAAAAAAATTAGCACAGTGCACTTATGAAAATACTTTGCAGGGGAAGTGCACAGTTGACAAAAAAATGTGTAACGTGCTTGTTATTTCTGTAAAAATATGGTAGACAGATCTTAAAAGAGCACAATGCTCAAGGCAGACATTCTTTACTAGGTAAGCTAAACTGCTGTTTGGTTTTAAGAAGGCTTCAGGGGACATCTTTTATTTAAAGTTTAAAGGTTATCTCCGGGCAATAGTTTCAGGTGTTCATCTAGTCAGCCTCCATGGCTCCAGGAAGTCTAGATTCCGGGAGAATTTAAAATTCTGTTCTGCAATTCCCCCCAAACTTGGTATTTCTTAAAAACTCTTTTTCATCTGATAAGTACGTAAGATTCAGAACTCTCTTGAATATACCCTGTAGTAATATACTCAATTTCTTAGTACAAAAAGACAGAACAGAGAGATATCGACTGCAAACACCTTGCTGAAAACCGAACACTACAGTGGGGACATGGCAAATCCATACTGTAAAAAGAGTTTCAGAACTTGGTAGATGAGAACCCACAAGAAGGAAAGGACTTGCATCCGAAAAAAAAAAAATACATTAATATACTTAAAAAGAAATCATTTGGTTCATGTAGAGCTGAGAAATCAACCCGGCACTGTGGCTTCCACTGTGCTCTCCTTCAGGCTGTATAGTTTGTGGATAAGGATTATCTTTAAAGTAAGATGGTGCTCCCGACCCACAGTGGAAGGACCAATTTGTTTAAAAACAAATCAATACCTTTCTAAGAAGTCAAACTAAATGTGTAAGACGACCCCTGAACTATACAGAACCAGTTTTAAGTACTTCTGATGTAATCGAAAGAAAAGTTTATAACTTGTATCTGTGGTTCTTTCATAAAATACCTTTTTCAAATGTCATTTTTTCGCATGGAGGAAACAGAATAAAAGTATTTATTTCTGTTGTACATTTGGAATACCACAAAAACATTCAAGGGCAAAGGCGTGTGCTTTGCTATATGTAGACTGTAAGTGCCTGGACAGCTTTCTGTGGTCACAGGTGACCCAGTACAGTCAAAGAGCGAGGACAAATCTAAGCAAAGCCATCCCCAACACCAGAAACACACTTAAAGTGCAGGCCCTTCCACTGTGCGTCTGGAGCACCATCTTACTTTTCAAGACAATCCTCATCCACGAACTATACAGCCTGAAAGAAAGCACAGTGAAAGCCACAGTGCCAGGTTTAAACTGTATCTTCTCTGCACTTATTAACTATCTTGTTGTTATGGATTGAAACGTGTCTCCCAAAAATGTGTGTCAACTTGGCTAGGCCATGATTCCCAGTATTGTGCAGCTGTCCTCCATTTTGTGATCTGATAATGCGATGTGTGGTAAATCCTAACCTCTGTGATGTTAATGAGGCAGGATGAGAGGCAGTTATGTTAATGAGGTAGGACACACTCAACAGGATTAGGTTGTATTTTGAGTCAATCTCTTCTGAGATATAAAAGAGAAAATCGAGCAGAGAGAGAGGGACCTCATATCACCCAGAAAGAAAAGCCAGGAGTGGAGTATGTCTTCGGACCTGGGATCCCTGTGCTGAAAAGCTCTTAGGCCAGAGGAAAATTGATCACAAGGACCTTCCCCCAGAATCAGCAGAGAGAGAAAGCCTTCCCCGGGAGTTGGAGCCCCAAATTTAGACTTGTAGCCTCCAAGACTATGAGAGAATAAATTTGTTGGTTAAAGCCATCCACTTGTGGTATTTCTGTTATAGCAGCGCTAGATAACTAAGACACTCGTTATCCAACATTTCACATTTATGACAATAGTGAAAAATCTACTCTCCAACTATTTTGCGCGTTAAAAATGTACGCCTGGCAGTTAACAAATACCAACATGGGAAGCAAGAGTAACGCTGGCTTTGATGGTTAAGGTTATGTGTCATCTTGGCTGGGCTATGATTCTCAGTAGTTTGGCAGTTATATAATGATATAATTTGTCAGTTATGTAATGATGTAGTCATCCTCCATTTTCGCATAATACCAATTTCACATAACAACCTGGTCTTTGGAACCTAACCATGTCCATAAGTGAGGAGAGTGTGTACTACTTTTTTTCTAGTCAATTCTAAATTGATTTCTTTGCATTAAACAAGTCAGCACCATACCAAAAACGTATATAGTAGACGTGCATCATTTATGTAGAGTTGCATTTAGTTTATGTGCATTCAATTACAGGCACAAAAAATAAGAAAGGAAACCCAGCTGCTTCAACAGAGGGGTGAAACCTCCACCTGCTGTTCCCACAGTGCACATGCCCCGCAGTGAGATGAGGAGCACCTGTGGCTCCCTCAGTGGATCTCCACTCCACCCACTTCTCATATTAACAAAAGAGCTCTGGTGGCACAGGGGTTAAGCACTCTGCTGCTAACCGAAAGGTCAGCGGTTCGAACCCACAGCTGCTCTGTGGAAGAAAGACCTGGTGATCTGCTTCTGTAAAGATTACAGCCTAGGAAACCCTATCTGGCCATTCAATTCTGTCCTCTAGGGTCACTATAAGTAAGAATCGACTCAATGGCACCGGGTTCTCATAACAACACCACTGTGACATGCTGAGTGGACTCCTAGTGTTACAGATACTTGCTTTGGATATAACATGGCCCCTGAACAACCGCCACCTACTTCATTGGTGCTCAATTTTAAATATATTTGAATTTTGTTTTCATCTCTGAATTTAGAATAATCTACTGTTATTTAAGAGACAACTGTACTGTAAATACAAATGTTTCCCTAGTTCAGATAGTTTTCTACACGGCTGGGTTTAGCTGAGAGATCAGAGTGCCCATTTTCCTAAGAGGTAAAGGACGGTTCTGGAAAACAAAGAGGTAGGGAGCTCTCTGCTGCATCTGCCTGGGCACCAGCCTAAGAGGATGGCACAAAACACGCTGCCCAACACTGGCCAAGAGACACCACCTCTCATTAACTGGGGACCTCAGGCAGGGCGCCCAGTCCGTGGAGGCCACATTTACAGGACTATAAGAACCCACGTGGGGTCACCATGAGTTGGAATTGACTCAGGGGCAACTGGTTTGGTTTTTCTTTTTAAGTACTCACAGAATGTGAAACAGTGTCACCATCTCGTTTGCAAACTCCTTATAAACAAGGTGGACAAACAAATGAAATGTGTCTCTAAGCCTATGTAAGGAACTTCATTTTCAACAAAAGGAAAAATAAGTTTAAACTTAAAAGAAAGGTAAAACTTTAAGACATCTTCCAATTTCAAATGAAATGTGTTAACTTTTAGCCATAACACTTGACATCATATTATCATGTTAAGCCTTTTAAAATTCTTTTTAGGCTTAATTCACTTTTATAATTTAAACATATAAACACTGTTTTGAGACAATGCAGTAGACAAGATGTTCAAAAAATAAGCTGAGGAAAGTTAAAAAAAAAAAAAAAAGCTATATCACAAAACGGATTTAATATAGTGTTACTAAACAAATTCCATATAATTCACCTAGCGATATCTAGTAGGAAGTGTGAGTATACAATGATGGATCAAGAAGGAAGCAGACTGCTAAAATAATGCTGTAAACTTTCATTATTCCTCCCTCTGGCCTCCCAGAGCATTTTATTCAAGCATTTGTACAGTACTAAATTCTCCCTAAGTAGCCCTGGTGGCGCAACGGTTAAGCACTTGGCTGCTAAGCAAAAGGTCAGCAGTTCAAACCCACTCAACAGCTCCTTGGGAGAAAGACCTGGTGATCCGCTCCTGTAAAGATTACAGCCAAGAAAACACTATGGGGCAGTTCTACTCTGGCAAACGGGGTCCCCTTGAGTCAGAATCAACGTTACGGCACACAACAAATTCTCTGTGGGCCTACTAAATGCTGACCCAAAGAATGGCTGAATCCAACTATAAAGCTACAAATACGCTAGATTTTTAGTACTTTGAGAAGTAGGCTCATTACTTTGAGACCCAGTAATCCAAGACATGGTAGAAACAGTGACCTCTAGTGGTAGAAAACCATACTTTCTCCTAATCCTTTGTTTCTTTTAGATTAAAATTAGGAAATCAATTTTATTTGAAAATTTCTTAATGTAATACTGTATTTTTTTTTCTTTAATTTACTGGAATATATTCTCTTCCTGGAAGGAGGAGAGTTGAGGGTAGGGATAAAGAGACCAAGAAAAAAAAATGTAATTTAATTTTCTATTTGGAACTTTACCTCTAAATCTATGATTTTCACAATACAAACGATAGAAATTAAAGCTCAGTAAAGTCTTCTTGGCTGGCAGGGATACAGAGAAGATCTGTAGATCCATGACTCGCAATTGGAGGTGGGGACAAAGGAGAGGCACTCCCTAGGGGAGAGTGAGATATGGGGGTGGGACGGCATAGGGTTTGGGGGAATAAGCCTGAGGGGATGGAACGAGATTTTTATGCTACCAGATGCGAGCAAAAATTAAACATGATTGAGAAACTTGCTTTAAATCAAGAAAAATTCATCCCCAACATTCTTATTTTATGATCATGCTGATATAACAAAACACATGTATTTTTCCAACTGCAGTAATTATAGGTAAGCTATTTACAAGACTGGAAAAATACTGGAAGTCCTAATTTTTATCTAATATATATATCAAGGAGCCCTGGTGGCACGGTGGTTAAGCGCTCAGCTCTAACCAAAAGGTCAATGGTTTGAACCTGTCAGATGTTCCGCAGGAAAAAGATGTAGTAGTCGGCTTCCATAACCATCACAGACTTGGAAACCCTATGGGGCAACTCTATTCTGTCCTCTAGGGTCGCTTATGAGTCAGAATCAACTCAGTGGCAACCAGTTTGATTTGGTTTACCTGCAAAATTATAAACATCCTCCCTTCATCAATTTTGAAGACTCTCTTAATGAATTTCTAAGCATCAGTATTATGTTTTTAGAGAAGCACAGTCACACACTCAAGCTGCAAGGACCACAGCTCTTCATTTTACAGACGAGGAAACAGTTAACTGGGAGGCCTGATCGAAAACCAAAACCACTGCTATCAAGGTGATTCCGACTTTGTGGAAGCAGACTGCCACATCTTTCTCCCATGAAGCCACTGGTGGGTTCAAACCGAATTCTCCACCTTTCAATTAGCAGCTGAGTGCTTAACCCCTGCGCCACCAGGGCTCCTTTTTTAGGGAGGCATGATAACAATTTACAATTCCCTGCCTTGTCCCTCCCCATCCTTTAAAAGGTGTGTAAGAAAAACAACAAACATCTCAAAAACTATTTTGAGAGAAGTACAATTCCTTCAGTCTGTTATAGCAGTACCTTACAAAGCTCAGGTTAGAAACATATAGCTATTTTATCACTTAAACTAATTTTTTATTATTTACCAGTAAAAACCAATTCATCATGCAGGTAACTTCTCTCTTGCTTGAGGCGAATGATCTCTTCTCGCTGGTCGTTATTTTCTGTTGTCTTTTCATTCAGCTCCTCTACACAAACAGAAGGGGAAAAAAGTTCTCAAAAAAATACTAGTTCCTTGGAGACTATGCACAACGGATTAACAGTCTTGTCTTCAGCACCCCCTTCCAATTAACTGGAAGTCCTGTTAGACCTACAGTTAAAACATGTCCCATGGCCAACATCTGTGTCCACGGCAACCACCCCGGTCCAAGCCCTCGCTCTGTGACCTGGCTTGTCTCCCTGCTTGAGCCCTTGCCTTACCTACAGCCCATGGTCTACAGAACAATCAGAGCTATCATTTAAAAATAAAAATCTGCTCATGGCATGTATCTGCCAAAAGCCTGCCAATGGCTTCCCACTGCATTTAGGACAAAATCCAAACTTACTAGCATAGACTACAAAGCCCTAAATGACCTGGGCCCGCCTACTTTCCTACCCCTCTCCCCCTTCTCTCCATCTGTTCCTTGAACACATCTCAACTTCAAAACTCACTCTAGGGCTTTTGCATTTGCTGCTCTTTCCGCCTGGGGGTTCTTGGCCCAGTCTTCACATGGCTGGTTCTTCCCATCAGTCAAGTCTCAGCTCAAACGTTAGGTCCTTCCAAGAGTCTTCCCAGTCCACCCAACTAAACGAGTCTGTCTCCCTCAGTCTCTACTCTCATTTTTAATTTTTTTATGTTTATTATATGTTGACTTTATAAAATACTTAGCAGGCATAAATACTGATACAACGGACTTCTTTTGACTGGAGTAAGTATACATAAACGTTCAATAAACATTTATGAGTGCCTACAATGTAACCCCATGTACTGTGGATTGAAAAGAGAGGACAGAGTCCCTCCTTGCTGTCAAGGGGCTCAGAACAGGATTATGGTTTTAGCTGAGGCTATAAATGGAGGCAAGCTCTATGCTTTGCCACAGGTCAGGACATCAGAAGGACAAGATTTTAGAATGCTGACTCTTAAATTAAATCGGCAAAGATACAATTTCACAATGCCAGAATCTTTTAGTTGAAACAAACGTAGAAGGTCATTTAGTTCAGGCAAACCCAGGAGTCCTCTCCGCGTTGTTCCCCTGCTTGAATACATCCGGTAACAGAGAACTCACTGCCTCGCAGGCATGCGCTATGGGCAGTAGTGAGAGTACCTTCCACCGCATTGTGCCTCTTGTCACTGCCTGCAGGGTGGTCTCCTCCTGGTGAGCCCATCTTCCTGTCTACCGTGATGACCAACCACCCAACGTGATGCTGTGGGTGCAGACTTAAGACTTACACAACAGCTCCTCAGCCCCCCAGTGGGGAAAGGCCAGAGGAAGGCAGGCCTAGCTCCATGCCCTTAGTGGCTGAACGTAAATTTTTACACAATCACCTCTACCACGGTCACAGTGTATAGCACTAACCCACTTGGTACACCCAGTCTTGTCTTCACTGTAAAACTTCAAGAGTTACATTACTCAGAAAGCAGGGAATCATGGAGTTACTGCAAGAATAAAAGTAGAAAAGGAGAACAGAAAAGGGAATTTTAAAAACACAAAACATGCCATTCTGGGAAACTGTGTTATGAGTGCCAAGTCCTCATCCCTCCCTGGTGGCACACTGGTTAAGCAACTGACTGCTGACTGAAAGGTTGCCGGTTTGAAGTCACCCAGCTGCTCTGCAGGAGAAAGGCCTGGTGATCTGCTCCCATAAAGGTTACAGATAAGAAAGCCCTATGGGGCAGTTCTACTCTGTCACGTGGGGTGACTAGAGTAGGAACTAACTCAACGGCACCGAACAACAGAGACAATCCTGCACGTGATTTTGCCGTGTGATTTTGCATTCCTCCCACAAAGGGGAGAGGACACGCCCCCACTGCCTGGCTTTGGCTGCAGCCACATGACTTGCTCTGACTGACAGAATGAGGCAGAAGTGATGGCGTGGCAGGTCCAACCCTAGGTAGATCTTAAAAGTCCTCACGGGCTCCTGCGTACTCTTAAACTTCTGCCATCTCCGTGGGAAGAACTGCCCAGGCTAGCCCACCGGTGAGGAGGAAGATGAGCAGCCCTAGCTAGGCCCAGCCAGAGCAGCTGACTCCCACGTGACCTCCAGATGCGTGATCTTAATAGATGCTCCTGGCTGTATGCCACTGAGATACACTTACTGTTTGTTACAAAGGAACTACTAGAAATAGCTAACCGATCTTGTTGTTGTTAAGCACTGTGGAGGGAGTTCCAACTCATGACAACCCCATGCACAACCGAACGAAAACACTGCCTGGTCCTGCGCCATCCTCACAATCCCTGCTATGTCTGAGCCCACTCTTGTAGCCACTATGTCAACCCATCTCATTGACCGTCTTCCTCTTTTTTGCTGACCCTCTAAATTAAGATAGGACTTTAAAAAATATAATGTGTTATACAGCTTCCCCTACTCTGTTACTTATCTGATTATAACACAAAAGTTGCAACATAATTCTATATAAATGAAATGAACATTTCATGTTAGGACCCGTTATGGACTGAATTGTGTCCCCCAAAAATAGGTAAATCCTAGCCTTTATGCCTGTGGTTATAATGTCATTTGGGAATGGGTTGTCTTTGTTATGTTAATGAAGTGGGATTCAAGTGTAGGGTGTGTTTTAAGTCAGTCTCTTTAGAGATACAAAAGCAAGCAGAGATGGGGGAAGACAGATGTCAAGTCACATGAAGACTGCCATGAAACAGAAGCTGAAAGAGACAAGGAGCTTCCCCCAGAGCCGCAGAGAAAGCCTTCCCCTAGAGCCAACACCCTGAATTCGGACTTCTTGACTCCTAACTGTGAGACAATAAATTTCTGTTTGTTATAGCCACCCACTTGTGGTATTTGTGTTATAGCAGCATAGTTAACTAAGACAGGACCTGAGGCTAGCAACAGACCTACATTCAATCATAAGATTAGGTGACCTAAAAGAAGAAATATATTCCCAAGATCAAATGCTTAAGTGTATGTCTCTTCCTTACCTTTTAGTTTACTAACTTCAACCTTAAGTGCTTTTAATTTCTGCTTATAATCTTGTTTTTCTTTCACAATACTAGTCTCCACCATCTTGGCGTCACGCAATGCATGTTCCAACACTTTAAATTTACCCGAACAGTCTGCAATGTGATTGACTGCCTCGATGATATCTTTGTCCTAAAGGAACAAAAAAAAAATCAAATTTAAAAGCTGCTATTAGATTTTTAAATTCCAAGTAACCAATAATAAACAATTACACTCATTAAAATCTCATTGTGTGCCAGTTTTAGTTTTAAGCACTTTTCATCTATTAACCTATCTAATCTTCATAGTAACTTTATAAGGCAGGTACTATTATCATCACCATAAGGCAGGCAAGAAAACAAGCATAAAAAGAATATGTAACTTGGCCAAGGTTACAGAAGTAGTAAGTAATCGAGCCAAGATTTGAACCTAGCCAGTTGGCCCCAGACACCATGCATTTAACCACTATACCTTACTATCTCTCAGAAAATTTAAAATAAGACGATGACCTATGAAACTGTGACAGCAATAGGAGGGACGGCAGACCTTGGGGGTGGGGTGGAATTAGTCTCTGGATTACAGACATAAAGTCCCATGGTCCAGCACTTCAGCACTTCTGCCTCCCTTTCAGCTTGTTAAAATGACAGATTCCAAGACCTCATCCCATAGCTACCCAAATTAGAATCTTATTGTTGAGGCGGTTGTTTTAATTACAAAAAAGGTATATGCGTGTTGAAAAATGATTCATACAATAACTAGATGTATAAAAGTAGTAAGTAAAAGGTCTCTCCCTCACTCACTCTCCTGGAATAACTATGACTAACAGGTTCTACCCCTGCCTAAGTACAACCATTTCCATATATACATCCCTGAAAAAAAGTCACTTCTGTAAATTTCACACTAGGAGGACTTCCGGGTTGGAACACACCATTAAAACACCAAAGGAGCTTTGTGACCAGACCAGTAAGTAGCAAAGACTCACAGTCCTAATAAGCACGCTACAACAGTTAAGCCTCTAGCGGCATTTATTATCTACCATCACTGTCAATCCTTTCCAGCCTTAAGCTTGGGGTTCACACTGCCTCCTTCAGTAAGTATGCCCTGGAAGGCATCTGCTTAGAGGCCATTTTCATCAAAATAAAAAATTGAACTCTGGGCGAACAGTCTGTTTTTAATTCAGGGGAAGCATCTTCGCAGTATCTTCATTAGTATTGCCAGCTTTGCCAGATGGTTTGCTCTGATGGAAACCACAGGGGTCGTTGAAGCCACTAAACTGGCCACTACTTGACCTACGACAAGTCAGCCAATTTTAACATCTTCTCTTTAATTTTGAGGTAGCTTGCCACTGATCACTTCAAAAATACTAACAACGTGCTGGGAAAAATCACACAAGACCTTCCCGTGAGACCAGTATCAATCCCCTAAGTGGTGGCAGCCAACCGAAAGGTCGGCACAGTTCAAACGTACCAGCTGCTCCGCAGAAGGAAGATGTGGCAGTCTTTTCTGTGAAGAACACAGCCCTGGAAACCCTATGAGGCAGTTCTACCCTGTCCTATAGGGTCACTGTGAGTGGGAATCAACTTGACAGCAATGGGTTTGGCTTTTTGTTTTGGGTGGCACAATGGTTAAGCACTCAGCTGCTATCCAAAAGACTGGGGGTTCAAGCCCATCCAGCAGCTCCATGGGAGAAAGATGTAGCAGACTGCTTCCATAAGGATTACAGCCTTGGAAAGCCTTTGGGGCACTTCTACTCTGTCCTACAGGGTCGCTACGAGTCGGAATCGACTCGACGGCAACCGGTTTGGTTTTTGGTTTACTGACCAACTACACATGAGATAATCTGTATCAAAGACATGTACTATAGCAGAAGAAATGTGACCATTTATTGACTACATCAACTGCTGAATTGCTAACAGTTTTTTGCTCCATTTTAAAGAGGATTAAGAAGCAATCTCACTGCTAATAACTTCACGAGCCCTCATAAGGCATCCATTGAAAGAGATCAAGTTGAACTTGTTTCTCTCATTTCCAAAACAAGAATTTAAAAACTGAGAACAACTTACACAATGAAAATTATAAAACACTGCTGAAAGAGATTAAAGATGACTTAAATAGCTGGAAAGATGTTCCATGTTCATGGACTGGAAGACTTAATGTTGTTAAGATGTTAGTACTACCCAAAGTGATCTATAGATTCAATGCAATCCCAATCAAAATTCCAACAGCCTTGTTTACAGAAATGGAAAAACCAATCCTGAACTTTATATGGAATGGCAAGAGGCCCAGAAACGCTAAAGCCACGTTGAAAGAGAAGAACAAAGTAGGAGGACTCGCACTTTAATTTCAAAACATATTATATAGCCACAGTAATCAAAGCAGCCTGGTACTGGTATAACAGTAGACACACACAAATGAGAACACTGATAGCTCTACTTTTCTGGGTTGCTAAAGAAATTAAATAAGATAATGTATATGAATATACTTTAAAAGTACCAAGTGGTCTGGCAAATGGAGGTGCTGTTATTTTTAATTACCTTTAGCTTTATCATTGTAGTGAGTGCCTGTTCCCGAGCTTGCAATTGTCCTACCTGGGCAGAAAGGTCCACTAACGTGTTGCTGAGATTTTGGTTTCTAGCCTACAAGGAAAGACACAAAATAAATACTAACTGAGTCATTTTAAAGCTTTCATTGCCATCACCAACCATAATCTGTGCTCATTTCCCTACTTTTTTTTGTTGTTTAACTTCTTTTAGTAACAAAGTAGGCTAAGCAAGCAATTATTAAAAAGGAATAAAAATATCCATTTCTCCATTAACTCTAGTATCCTCTCAATACTTGTGCTGCCCTACTGAATTATATTGGTCATGTTTGCATACGTGTCTATTTCCTGAAGTCTATTTTACATGTAATTTTAGGCTGGGAAGAAAAGAGAGAATGAATGAATGAGAACTGCATTAGTAAGAATTTCCCTCTCTGAAATAAAGTAGTATTAGTTAGCTCCTATGTTTTTTTTTTTAACTCTATGTTGAAACAACTTCATGTTGAGGTATTCCCACTTATAAGTCTTTTTAAATGACAGAACTGTGTCTGATATAATTACTTTGTATATAATATGCTTAATGATTGGGAAAAAAAGAACAGATTTAAAATTATATCTTCGGTTTTTTAATTTAATACAGATTCTATAATACTTTTTACTTATTTTATATCTAGAAACTGTCTGAAATAGTATTCTAAGAAAAGAAGAAAGCATTAAAAATCTATATTATGAATTATTAAGACTCATTATATTACCATGATCTATAATGAATATCATTATGAAACAAGAATATGAAAGATGTAACAAAAAATAAGGTGGCATTCTCTCTGTGCTTCTGATCAAGCATGAACTCAAAACTATCTGATAACTGACGAGTCAGAACAAGAAAACTAGTCCGTCTTACAGATTCTATTCCCAATCAGCTACTAACAAACAGATATTTGTTTATCATATCTGATAAGACACAATAGTTTAGAATGCATCATTTGAAGCTACTGAAAGCTGATGATATTGATCTCTAGGTTTTACTGAAGCTTAGTCTCCAAGACAGAATAGCACTGTGCAGCTAACCAAAACAGTACAATCAACACAAGACTATGATGCAGGCATGTGTACACCTCCATACACAGACATGCATTTTAAATGGAAACATTTAATTTAAATCTAATTTTTCAGTGACTGAAACAAACAGAATTTAGAGGAGGGAAGCTTATCAAAAAAAATACCAACCTTGGGGCAGATGACCAGATCCCAGCCAATGAATGAGAGAAGAACCATGTATGAACCATTCAAGCCTAGCCCCTAAAACAAGATCTTCTATCCTACCTCTGCTTACTGTTTGTTCATGACTGACTGACAGAGTGAGTCCAAACAAGGGCTCCACAAAGTCCCTAGAACAGTGGAGCCTTGAGATGAGAAGAACCCAGATCTCCAAGTCAGCCCTTAGAAGAAAACTTCCCAGAGGACCCACAGCACACTGTCATCAGTAAGAAATAAATTTGTATTATGCCAAGTAAAAAAAAAAAAAAAAAATACCAACCTCAAGGTCTTCAGAGAGGAGAGAGGCATGGGCTGCCTTCTGAGCCATCTCCTGGAGTTGTTGTTGAGTTTTTTGAAGAGCCATTTGGCATTCATTTTGATTGGATTCAAGGGTTTTTATTTTCTTTATGAGTGACCTGATTATTTCACTTCTTTTATGTAGCTCACCTGAGGGAAATTTCATCGATAATTTATTTGTGGTCCAATCTGAAGTTTAAAATGAGGTATTTTCAAAACGAGTGATTACAAAGTAAAAATGTGTTAAAGAACTTTTTAAAGGACAATTCTTCTTAAAAACATTTTTTAAACTGTGAAATGCACATAAAAACAGAAAAGTCACAAAATTCATTTGTGTGTAGTTTAACAAATAGTTACAAAGGGAACAAGCGTGTACTCTGTACCACTGTCAGCAGCCCGGAGGCCCCTCTGTCTCTTCCTGAACACAACTGCTCCAATTTCTACTTCTCAACCACCATCCTGATCTTAAATAATTTACTGGTTTTTTTTATTTTTTATTTTATTGTATTTCAGGTGAAGGCTTACAGAACAAATAGTTTCTCATGAAACAGTAGTACACAT